TGAACGTACATCAGGGGTTCGTCAGCTGACTCTGCTCCTTCAGGTAACATTAGTTGTCAGGAGTATATTTCGGAGATGCCGGAAATGCCCTCCATCAGTCTGATCTATAGGAATATTTCCTGCCTATTTATTTATCTTCCAGCTAAACACAAAAAAAAGGACAAGACTAATTGCTCTAAATGTGAACACAACTATAGTGGTACTTGCAAACTTACAGAATGAAAAATAAAGGAAAACCAGCAATAAAATGAAAACCAATCTCTAAGGTTAGGATTAAGTTACCTTAATAAATAAAGGTGAGTTGTAAAAATACCATACTAAAATATGATAGATTGAATAAATGAACTGATATTCAAGTTTACAAAAAGAAATGGGTAAAGCAATAATGAAATAAGTGTCAAATGATATACACATTTGCCATGTTAATTAAAAATGGTATGTATTTTATACAAAAGAAACAAGAATTATTTATCAATAGATAAATAAAATGTTATGAACTTAAAAAAAATGAATAAATTGCCATTGCTATGATAAAAGAAATGAATGCAGTGAGTGATTGACAGTCCCCGTAGCTGCAGCACATTCCATTAACCTCTTTGTGCCGGCCGCACGCAAATGTGCAGCCTCCCGGCGTCTGGGCCTTGACGCCGAGCGGGCCGCACATTTGCGTGCAATTAAGAAACACATATGTGCTGAGAGTGCACGCCCTGCGTGCTCCCAGCACACATGTCTGGTACTCACTGAAAGCTCCCGATCTCCTCTTTCAATTGGGACCTTTCCCGATCATGTGACCGCCATGACAGAGAATCATGGTGGTCACATGACCCTAAATCCTCGCCCCGCCTCCCGGGTTCTGAAACCCTTAAAGGGCCGGGAGGCACCGGCGCCAAGGGGTTAAACTTAGGGGGAGTACCAGTGAAAATGGGATTTTTAAGGTGCAAAATATATAGATATAATCTATGGAGTTGATTTACTAAAGGCAAATAGACTGTGCACTTTGCAAAGTGCCGTTGCACGCTGCAAGAGCAGTAGCTACAGAGCTTAGTAAATAAGGAGAAGTTCTGCTGATTTCCATCATCCAATCATGTGCAAGCAAAAATGCTTTTTTTTTTATTTCCCTTGCATGGGATTGGGTATTCTTTGCAAAGTGAATCTTTACCTCATTTACTAAGCTGTTCAGCAACTGTACTTGCAGAATGCAATTGTACTTTACAAAATGCACAGTCTATTTGGCTTTAGTAAATCAACCCCTATATATTTTGCACCTTACAAAATCTCATTTCCACTGGTTCTCTCTCTATTGCTATGTTCAAAAACAACTGTTGCTATGGGACACAAAATAAGTTGCTACAACACTTGAACCAGTTATTAATTTCCTAACTTGTCAAAAACTGCGAACAGGCAGCTTTCTAATACAGAAGGGACATGCTATGGGGTTGATTTACTAAAGGCAAATAGACTGTGCACCATACGAGGTGCAGTTACAATTTACAATTGCTCCAGAGCTTTGTAAATGAGATAAAGATACACTTTGCAATGTATCATCTGCAAGGAATATTGAAAAAAAAGCACTTTTGCTTGCACATGATTGGATGATGGAAGGCAGCAGAGCTTCTACTTATTTATTAAATTCTGGAGCAACTGTTTTTTGCAGAGTGCAACCGAACTTTGCAAAGTACACAGTCTAATTGCCTTTAGTAAATCACCCCATGTCTCTTCTGCAAAAATACACACTCTGATCACAGCTCAGTGTGCATTCCTGGCTATGATGAAATGACTGACTCCCATGCACATGCATGGAATGATGTCATCCCCACCAGCCAATCAAGAGGTCAAAAATCCAGCATCTGAGGAGAAGCAACAGTGGCCGGTGACTAGACATGCGACTGTTTTAATTTCTATCAGTGGGTTGCATGCAAAAAATGACTTGATTCCCCCATTCACAACCTCCCTGCCCAATACATTGATCGACATTCGGCCAGTACCTGCTGAACTGGCTGAATTTCAATCCGAATATTAAACTGATTGCAAACTTTGTAATAATTTAATTTTTTGATCTGTGGATTAAAAAAGATTAAATCTGACTTTTAAAATAACATCAACTTGGTAAAGATTACATGAGATTTTAGTAACTGGGCATTAAGTTTTGTACTGCCTGACAGCAAAAATTGGATGTCTGTTGTGGAAAATAACTTAATATGGTTCTAAAGGCTTAAACCTTCAGTATGTAGCTTCCCCCACAGCTCCCAATACTATCCCAAGCTCGATCATGATCCAGCAATGTGCATGAGAGCTGGCTCAGCGATAGCTGAGAGACAATAGAGTGAGCCATTGGCTCAGATAGCTGTCAATTGCAACCAGTGAGGAGGAGGGAGTGGGGGCGGGGCCGAGCCGCGCTTTGTGGGTCTTATGGACATTTGGGGCTTGGGAGCGAGCATGCATGTGACTGCACAGCCTTCTTTGCAGTCCCTCTTCCTAGTGTGGCTGGCATTTCTCCTTAAGTAAAGGCAAGCTCGTCAATGACATCAAACTGTACAAACAGTCCCAGTTGGTGTATACTGAAGTTTTTCCTTCTGCAATCCATGCTACTAGGCTGGGGGCATGGTGGCAAACCTGGCCATGGAAGTACAGGTACACTGTGCGTAGGCATGATGTCCAGTAAAATCCAATCAGCTAGAGCATGCATGCAAACTGACCACACCAGAAAAGATCTGTTTGTATGCTTGGTGTGGTCAGATCAGGACACAGGAAACTTCCAGGATCACTACAGGTATTTCATAACAAAATGGACAGCAGGGACCCAAGATACAACATATCAGCAACAGTTTAGTAATAAAAAAATGCAATTATTGCTATTTCAGTTCTTAGGTTTACATACACTTTAACGTGTTAAAAATGCTATAGATATGTCCAACCACCTAAATTCAAAGAAACAGTAAAAAAATAGTTTATATTAGGCTCTGAGCAGAAATCCAAAATTTAAAAAAAACTTGAATCATAGCACCATCAAGTGTCCAGTTTTATTATTGCCAAATTGTAACTATCTGCAAAGATAAGTCTCAATCCTTAAAATGGAAAGCAAGGCAAAACACAAAACTAAATAATAAACATGCAGTTTAGAACCATTTATAATCAAAAATCATGGAATAACCCAAGCAGTTGCATTCATTTGCAACTGGGTCAACTGGGGTCTAGAGGTCCAAGAGGGAGTTCTAACTGTAATGAACTATGCAAGGGACTAGTGTTTAGCACTTCCACTTCATTATCTTAGGGCTGTACATTGACACTCACATGGTGATAAAATTCGACTGAAATACCAATATGAAATCTTGCTGGAGATGGAACATCCTGTGAGATACATCCAAATAATCTTGTTGTGCATACTTTAGGTGTCGTATGTTTTGCAGCCTTTTTTGACATATTTAGGTTGTAAGAGAAGTTCTTTGTTAGGGTTTACATACACTGAAAGCTCTGAAGTTGTCTTTATTAACTTGATGTAAGATCTAACAAATAAGTTAAGTTCTGTGTTTTTACAAAATAAGAACAGTGGATTATCTGGAACGACCCTTTGAACGGGTGTATGTTTTAGTATGCCCATGTGAATTAAGACTTTAACTGGTTCTCGCCTGGCCAATAGCAGATTGACGGCAAGGCTGGCCTTTCGTCCCTGTGGGTGGACGTCATATGAATATTGACAGAAATGCTCACGTTGGGGAGATAGAACCAAAATAAGCTCTCAAACTGGAAGAGGGTTCCTACATCTTTCTGCATCCTCCTGGGGGCAGATGGTGGCATGGGCCCCTTCGATGACATTGCTTGGGTGCCTGGAGTTTTCTTTGTCCATTCTATCTACATTCAACGAGTAGCACGGGACTTCTGATGCTTCGGCAGCAGTGACTGATGAGCAGTAGTACATCGTTCTTGTAAGTGATTTTATCTTCAGTGCAATAAATGTATTTTTAACCGCAATACTACAGTCAGATGGCGCTTGTTTTCTGTGTTTGTCTGTTTATGTTATACCCTAGAGTTGGCTTCTAGCTCTCATACAGCCTGCCTGGAGTGTGTAGTCATCTATTCTTCCCGGATTCTCTTGGACTTTATATGGTCTTCATATTGACCCTACTAATTCCCCACAGGCGTTTTTTTCTGTCATCTGCACCATTTTGTATTGTTTTATATCCAATCACAGCTGATCACATGTAAACAAATGCAGGTTTTTGGAATTTCCTTTCCTCAGCACTGTCACTGTCTGAGGAAAGGAAAGTCGGTTATGGGCTTTTCTGTGACAGGGGACATTTACCCTGATAATCAGGGCAATGATCATTGGTGCAGTCCCATTGGTGCCCATTAGTGCAGCATATTCATGCCCATCATTGCAGAATATCAGTGCAGCCCCATTAGTGCCAATCCGTGTCCATCAGTGCAGCATATCAGCGCCCATCAGTGCCATCTATCAGTGCTCATCAGTGCCACCTTATCAATGCAGCCTCATTGGTGCCTCTTCATCAGTGACCATCAGTGTAGCCTCATCAGTGCCCATTAGTACAACCTCATCAGTGCCCATCCTTGCAGCTTCATCAGTGCCCATCAATGCAGCCTATCAGTGCCCATCAGTGCAACCTCATCATCACACATCAGTGAAGAAGAAAATTTACTTATCTGCAAATTTTTTCAACAGAAACTAAGAAAAGGTGTTTTTTTTTCAAAATGTTTGGTTTTTTTTCATTTGTTTAGCAGAAAAAAAAACCCAATGGTGAGTAAATACCAATAAGAAAGCTTTATCTGTCTCAAAAAAATTATAACAATTTCTTTAAGGTGCATGACCGCACAATTGTCATACAAAGTGCAACAGCCCTTAAAGCTGAATATTGGCCTGTGCAGGAAGAGGGTGAAAGTGCCCAGTATTGAAGTGGTTAACAAACAGTAAAAAAAATTAAACAAGTGAAAATGTTTGTGCACTCTTCCATCTTTAAGTGTACACCTATGTGAAGGGGCCAAAATCAGCAGCTAAAATTGACTTCAAACTTCCTTCCCTGACAAATACACTTTATTACCAAATGTATTGGGACACCCTCCAAATCACTGGATTCAGGTGTTCCAATCACTTCCATGACCAATGTGTATAAAATCAAGCACCTAGGCATGCAGACTGCTTCTACAAACATTTGTGAAAGAATGGGTCGCTCTCAGGAGCTCAGTAAATTCAAATGTGGTACCGTGACAGGTTGCCTCCTGTGCGATAAATCCATCCATGAAATTTCCTTGCTACTAAATATTCCACGGTCAACTGTTAGTGCTATTATAACAAAGTGGAAGCAACTGGGAACAACAACTCAGCCCACAAAGTGGTAGACCACATAAAATAATAGAGCAGAGTCAGCGCATGCTGAAGCGCACAGTGCGCAGAATTCGCCAACTGTCTGCAGAGTCAATAGCTAAGGACCTCCAAACTTCATGTGGCCTTCAGATTAGCACAACATCAGTGCATAGAGAGCTTCATGGAATGGGTTTCCATGACCAAGCAGCTATATCCAAGCCTTACATCTCCAAATGCAATGCAAAGCGTCGGATGCAGAGGTGCAAAGCACGCCACCACTGGACTCTAGAGCAGTGGAGATGTGTTCTCTGGGGTAACAAATCACGCCTCTCTGTCTGGCAATCTGATAGACGTGTCTGGGTTTGGCAGTTGCCAGGAGAACGGTACTTGCCTGACTGCTGTGTGCCAAGTGCATAGTTTGGTAGACGGGGGATTATGGTATGGGATTGTTTTTTTTAGGGGTTGGGCTTGGCCCCTTAGCTGCGCAAATATCAAGTGACAGAAAAAATTGCAACACCCACCATTTTATTTAATTAATTTAAGTTAATTGTATATAATGTTTGGGAATTCTAAGTAATTTCATACCAAAAAAAAGTTGATATTTGGAAGAAGTATCGGAATTGGCTTGAGCAGCTAAATGAATAATGACTTGTCAAAAACAAAAAAAAAGTTCCCTCACTTCAGGCTTCATTCATTGATTGCTCCACTGGCTCCAATTTTGCCATTTCCATAATCACCCCTAAAATTCTATTGAAATAGAGTGACATTTTAGTGAACTCCAGTAAAGCTACATTTCATTTTTAACTGAGCTCAATAAATATTCCCTCTATACATATTGCATTTTGCTGGTGGTAGGTATGCTGTTCATAAATACGCTGTTACTCACATTTTCTTTGCCCTCAAATATACAATATTTGTGAACTGCATTTGGATAAAAATATCTTTTAAAATCTTGCACTTGGCATGCTTTGACAAGTGCTACCTGTTCATAGTCCTCTGAACCTGATTATTGAACAAAAAAAAAACATTTATTTATTATTATTATATTATTATACAGTATTTATATAGCGCCAAAAGGTTTGCTTAGCGCTGTACATTATAGTGGGGGACAGTACATGAGACAATACAGTAACAATACAATACACGAGGGGTTCGAGGGCCCTGCTCTTTGGACTTTACAATCTGGGAGGGAGGGGATAGTGGTACAGAAGGAAGTGGCTGTGGGGGATGGAGTGGTAGGAGGAGCAGAGGAGATCGGCTGTTAGGTGAGGGCAGGGTAGGCTTCCCTGAAGAGATGGGTTTTCAGGGTGCGCCTAAAGATGAGGAGAATAGGTGACAGTCTGATGGAATGGGGTAGTGAGTTCCAGAGGATGGGGGAAGTCCTGGAGAAGTCCTGGAGTCGGGCATGGGAGGAGGAGACCAGGGAGCTAGAGAGTAGGAGTCATTGTGAGGAGCGAAGAGTACGTGTTGGGTGGTATTTGGATATCAGATCGGTGAGGTAGTTTTGGTGTTGTGAATAGCTTTGTATGTCAATGTTAGTAGTTTGAATTTTATGCGTTGGGCAATTGGGAGCCAGTGGAGGGAATGACAGAGGGGGGTGGCAGATACGGAGCGGTTGGTAAGGTTGATGAGTCTGGCAGCTGAGTTCAGGATAGACTGAAGCGGGGATAGTCTGTGATGAGGTAAGCCGGTGAGTAGGAAGTTGCAGTAATCGAGTCATGAGATAATAAGGGAGTGAATGAGTTGTTTTAGTAGTATCAAAAGTTAGGAACGAACGTATTTTGGAGATGTTGCGGAGGTGGAGCCTGCATGAATTTGCCAGCGATTGGTCATGGGGTTGAAGGACAGATTGGAGTCTAGAGTGACACCTAGGACTTTGGCTTGCAAGGTGGGGCTGATGGTGGCAATATTGGTCGTGATGGAGAGGATTGGGGGGGGGGAGGGGCACGGGCCGGGGGGAAAACTAGGAGCTTGGTTTTGGAATGGTTTAATTTGAGGAAGTGGAGTGACATCCAGTTTGATATGTCGTTCAGTAGGCAGGTGATTCGGGCGGAGACTGAAGGGGTGAGGCGAGGGGTAGAGAGGTAAATTTGCGTGTCATCGGCATAGAGGACATTTCTTAACAATGTCCAAAATCAAAGGTACTTTTTCATTGTCTGCATTCTTCGCCATTTAGAAGACACTTTTCCAAAGGCAGATAGGCTGCTGAATGTCTCTCTTCTTACAGTTCATATGATCAAATGTCTAGGTCTTTAGGCAAACCACCATATGGAATTTGTCGAGTCATTTTCTGAACGGTAGCTATTTCATCTCTTTTATTATTCCTTTGTACCTATCCCAGCAAGGCTGTTATCACCTTTATATTAGCATATGAGTATAGGTCCGCTTTATTCAATTGGTTGAAGCTGCATAAGATGTGCTGTCAATCAGCATATTTGGAATCCATAAAGTCATGTTTTATATAGATGAATTCATTATGCATAGTAAATTGCACTTGTACCTGTATAGGACAATTGAGGTGTCCCTAAGTCATTCAGATGATTCATGTAGTTGTATGTGGAGCTTAAAGGAATTGTATACTTTCAAATGTTTATGCAGATTTAATCATGAATTAGTGTAGTTATATTCCATGTTCTGTTTGTTTGCTTTACCGTGTAATGATGGACTCACATGTGGCTGAAGTTTGTAGAGTCATGGCCCATGTCCACGGTTTGCTACAACTAGCCTGTTTCTATTTGCCAACTTCAAGGCAATTTCCTGTTCTGGGCCACACAATGCCCAATACATGCATTGCCATCGGATCTGTGTCACATCACAAATATGGGAGTGCTATTGTAAAAAAAAAAAAAAAAAAAAACATCTTCCAGCTGCATGATGAGCTCACTGTGTGTCTGTGAGTGCTCTGCCTGTTTGTGTCTTTGTCAGATCTAAGTACTGTGTAGCTCTCACCTGCACCGGAACTAGACTAAGAGACCCAAGGATTGTGGGATATGTAGTTTTCTTTACAAGAAATGGCAGTTGTCACACTACAGACAGAGGTCATGCATTAACCTGTGCAGTGCTATGTCTCTTTCCTTATGTTTCTACACAAAAAGAATCTACTGACAAAGGAATATGAACTCTTACTTTACTATATGCTGTCAGTCCATGGCAATAAAAGACATCATGAAACTACATGATCAATGCACATATTATGAAGTTGAAAAACACAAGGTGCAGGTAAGAATGTTTACAGTGCCTTTAAGAGCTGCCACAGTCACTGCTCTCAGCTCCAAGTGGACTTAGCAATCAGCGGTCATGTGATTCCTCTGTTCTGGGGCTTACAGCCAGCAGAGGGACAGCTGCATTATCAGACCGATGCTGCAGCATGGAGATATGTGTGTTTGTTTTTTTTCTATTCCCACACTTCTCCTTTAAAGTGAGTTTACATTTTTACTTTAGATCCAAAGCAGATTGCACAGAGAACTAATCAGTCTACCAAAGATGCTATAGCTATGTCCTTACATATGGCACTAAGTCACTTAAGACTAAGGGAGCTATGTCAGAATGCTATTTATACATTTTAATTCAGTGCTAAAGGCAATTTTTTTTATTTGATTGGGTTAGAGTGGTGAGGGTTTAGAACCTATATCAGGTTTATATTGCTGTCTGTGTCCCTAACAACTACTCACAATGATGTAGCAAGTAAATAAGTAAACATCTGAGTAATGCTATTACTAGGTTGCAGGTAGAGGAAGCTCTAATGATTTGTAATGTGACTTCAGGAGACTAATAACCAGCAAGCTCACAATACACTTGGAATGGGCAAGTGAGCAAAATGTGTTTTCTGTTCTCCTCTGATACAGGTCAGTCATACTTGGTTTATGGTATCTTTGTTCAGTTTTGTGTTTGTTCTGACATTCACTTTCTCTGTTTAGTATACTATATGTTAGTAATGGTAACTCTGTAACACAAATTGATGAGCTTTTCCATGTGGCCAGCGCTGCCACTATAAATAAAGTAATTATCTGTATAATGTGATCCATTTCTGTTTGTCACATTAAACGTGGAATGAGCAAGTGAGCAATATGTGTTTTCTGTTCTCCTCATGATACAGATACTGCAGGCTGCATTTTTGCCATACTTAGCACTCAGATCACTGAGGGGACTAGTTTATCCATTTGTTCAGATTACTGACTTATGACTCAGCTGACCAAGGAAAAAGGCTATGTACTACTTACAGATTGTCCCTTATTTGTAGTAGAGAACGTGCAAAGTTTGCAATTAGCAAAACTCTTGAAACCTCATGATTTGGCCCAAACCCAAGGTGGCAGCAATCCAAAACTCTGCTCAGGACTTTTACTTTTAAAGAATAAAAATACATAGGGGCCCATACCACTGATAACCTTCCACTAAACAAAATGCAATGGTTTACATCATCTCAAGTGTACAGTAGATGGCACTTCTCTGGAAAATTAAAGGTACTTTATTTATGCTTAAGGATGTCGTAGTAAGGGGTTGAATACCTGACACATTACATATTGTGACATCTGCATGTCTAAATAACCTACTAACTACTGAGTACTCCACACTTAAAGCAGAACTAAAGGCACTAAACCTACATTCGCTCTAACGAACTGGGTCCCTTACCTCCGCTGTCAATCTTCTCCCTGAGTGCCGGTCTTCATGCATCTCCACCCACCAGCGCAGGTTAATGTAACTCCTGCACATGCACAGGAATCAGTCATCCCAGCACACAGGGACTATGCTGGAAATGTATGCTGAGCTGCACATGCACAGCTCACTCGCAGTCTTTTGTTCAATGCCTTCAGTATTGTTTACACACAGGCTGACCCTCACTGATCTCTGCCAAAAGATTTCTTTACCAGACCCAAGGTTACATGTAATGATGAGCCAAACATACCTTGGTTCGTTTTGAGGCAACCTCAGCAAACATTACTACGGTTCGGGTGCCAAATCTGACCCTCATTGAAGCCAATGGGATACGAATGTTTAAAAAGACAGCCATCTTCATTTTTTTAGGCTAGTAGGAAAGGGATTGTCAAACAAATGGCATTGAGGGCTGGGCACTGCATTAAGGGATATATGCCAAAGCAAAAAAAAATTCGCAAAATTCCATTTGGCTGGGAGCAACAATTTTAGTAATGCTTCCAGTAAAGCATTAAAAAAACAAAAATCTGTTTAAATAATGTACCTGGAGGATGCCTTAACCCTGTCTGTGAAATGGCCAGCTGTGCAATGTATACTATTTTATAAATGTTATACTAGATCCTTCAAGTCTGGTAAACAAAAATGTTTTAAAAGTATGCAGTCCCCTGAAAAAATCCATACTTGACCCTTATTTGAGCATACAGCCTGGTAGGCCAGGAAAGAGGGGGTGGGAGTGCATCCCCCCTCCTGAACAATACAGTACCGAATGCTCTCAACATGGGAGGTACCTTTGGCAAGACACTGTTGTCTCCATTTTAATTAAGACAAGGGCCT